TTGGTTTTGCTAGAGGATAGTTTTCATCCATCTTTTTTTGCAAAACCAAAGAAATTGACTATTTTCGAATCCCCCATAACACAGTTAGTTTGCCCACCAAATTTTGCATAATTTATTGTTTTCGCATGCTCTAGGGAATATGCAGTCCTCCCAGGAGCATTTGAAAACAATATCTTATGCAAAATTTGGGGGGCAAACACAGTGTATTATGGGGGATTCGAAAATAGAGAATAAGCCATTGGAAACTGTTCACATGAAAAGTAGAAGTTCACCTTTACAGCTTTGCTCAGTACATTGTGTACCTTTAGCATTACATCAATGTTTGTTAATGTTACTGTTCAGAATAAAATGAATATTTAAATTTTGATCTGCTGATGTCAAAAGATGTGGGCAATTACATAATATCATTAATAGTTTAAACAGTGAAAAACTCTTGCACAGTTCTCAGTGCACTCATGTATAAGGTGACACCATGATTAAAGTCCTCAGACAAAGGATCTATTGATGCTTGTAATTGATAGTTTTGGGCTGTGTTTAAAGTAATGGCAGATTCTGGCACTTCCACGTCATTATCAGCATCCATATCTGGAAGTGGCCCATCCCCATCTACCCCATAGTCATTCCACTCCTCAGAAATGTTGAGGATGCTGTGGACAGCAGCATAATCAGAGTTGGCAGTTGCAGTTAAACCCGAAATCCAGAGTTGTCTTGGAGAGCGATTGCCCATGGTACGTAAGGGATGATTGTTCCAACTATTTGTCAGCTCTTCCAATGATCTATTGACACGTGGACAGTAAACATACTGCAGTGCACACAAATGCATTTCACTGAGTGGATCCAACAAGTTTCTTTCCTCTAGAAAATGAAATATACTCTTGTAGAAGGATACAACTTTCATTTTAACTTCCAACCACAGACGCTCAATCCTCTGATTATGTACACTTCTTCCGGTGATCATGCTACCCCTGTTGATACCTCTTTGGGGATGTTGTAGCAAATATCTAGCTACATCTACATTCTCTGTTCCAAAATCAGACGTGACACGTGGTGGGAGTCCAAATCTTTCTTAAGCATCCAAAAATAAGGCTGGAACAGTCTCCGCTTTGTTATTTGAAGAACATCTGAGATATACGATACTTCTACTGAAACCATCAATGCCTCCATGAATTACAAAACGCCACCTGACCAACTTATGATGTCCATCTATGTGCCTGTAAAACAAATGTAACTTGAAGTCAACTGCACCTTTGTTTCCTGGTGGATCCAAACATGACCGCTGGGAAATCAATTCCTGGAATGTATTTCTTGAAATCCCCAAAACGGTATTTGTAAAAATTAATTACAAGCCATTTTTCCTCAATGTTTTTTCAACATGACCAACAAAAATTCTGCACTTCACTTTACCCACTTAACCTTAACAGTTGTAATGGGAGAATAAGATGTGGTCTTAAGCATCAATAATACATCTTTGGACATTAATAATAAAATTCAAGAGTATACAGGCCACAGAGCTTTCTAAGAAAGTTGTTATGTGGTTGAAAACATGAAGGCTATTCTTACACCAGCCCCTCCTTCTTGGTTTATCTGCTGCTAATTTTGATGTGCCTTCAGAGTAAAATTGTAGCCACCAAACTAGAACAATTAACTTTCCTGAAGTAGGATCCTTGTCCAGATGAAAATGCTTCTTACAAAGCACTGGAAATGCACCCCCAACCCCAAAGGCACTGAATAAAAAATAAATAACCATACCAAAGAAAAAAGTGGAGGGGCTAAAGTGACCCCCCCCCCCCAGCCCCTCCCTCTCTGTGGCACCTGCAGCCACAAAGGTTACTTGAAAAACCAGTATGTTTACTGTCAAAGTGAGAAAACTGTAACACCAGAGATATCATATCCATGTTGTCTTATTGTCACTGAAGGAAAAAGTCAATCAGGAGTAAGAAAACAGCAAACAGTAACAATGATAATGCATTAGTTTGTGGTTTTGATGTTTGCTCAGGGGATCAGAACCTGAGGATAACTGGTCACTGCACAACATTCCAGACATACTTCAAGTTTTTATGGTTTTCTTACTTCGACAGTAATAGCTTAAACGAATCCAGGAAGATGCAGCAAAATGGGTCCATGATTAAAAGTCAAAATTACTATAATTCATTGGGGCAAACAACATTGTACACTCGTCTTACTACAGCAAAGGTTCTTCTAAGTGCACGACTGATGGGATCCACGGTCTGAATTGCTTGTCTAATACGCCATCTCTGCACTATCATTCCACGACTTCTTATTGCTCCTATTATGTATGTCTCACCGGCATCTGGCATATTTTGCAAAACCTCGTGAACAACATTGCAGAGGTCATCGTCAGTTATGTTACAGAAAGTGTTCCTTGGACCCGCTCTGTTGGCAATCAGAAAACCTAACTCATGCCGCCTTCGTAAAATCGTTCGATACGAAACGCCCGTCTCACAGGCAACTGCACTCCACGCGTAGTAAATGCTGTGTAACTCACTAAGAGTTTCTTCGTCGATTTCAAGACGTCGTCTCCCTCGTGCACTGGGTTCCTGTGTTACAAAACTGTGTCCAACGTTACATTCTAAAGGGTCATCACCTTCCATGCTAAAATTACAAAGTCTGTGGTACTGTTTGAGAAGCTGGAATAATTGATCGTGAATCTCCCGGAGGATCACCAACAAATCATTACAGTCTTCTTGCTCCATACAGTGTTGTAGGATTGCACGAACAGCTACATAATAGTCATCTAGTCGACGTCTTACGTTTTCTAGTATGTTTACATTATCGCAATGAAGGTGTCTGTCTGCTTGCTCCAAAGCGAAGGTAATTCTCGAAGAAAACTGTCCAACCTCCGTCCATCCGCCATCTTAGGATCTCAGTAGGTGAATAACGCATATTCTTTGAAGTGTCGGACTGTCCAGATAGGAACGTGTGCTCATAACATATTCGTTACATAATCCTAACATATATTTCTGTCGCTGGTCATAACATGAATAATTTGGGGTTCATAACTTATAGATGCCGCCTAGTTCATGACATATATTTATGTTATATTTACAACATTGATTTATTTGTAGTCATGATCCTAATAATGATGGTCTAGTACGAATATTAACATTTTGGTCTACATTTATATATTTATCTTTTTGTCATAAATGGCGTTCCATACACCACCATTATCCAGAATCATGAGAATCAATACCGTATATATATCTTTTACATGGAAATTATACCCACAAGAACGTACAACATACAGTCGTGGTTAGGACATTTTGCCTCTAAAACTTTAATCATTGAGTGTTTATGAGTTCTTTCAGTTCACGGCAGCATGCTGATGTTTCTTTATGATGCCCTCCTTGGAACTTTGGACTGATACAAGAAGAGCAATTCAGTTTTGACTCCAAAATTTGTTTTGCGAGTAAGGTTTCACATTGCATAACTCATACCTACTCCCTATTCCTCTATCATGTCAGTTTTTACGGCTGGACATGACTGTCCTGATAAGTATAAATTAAGCCATCTCTAATTGTTCTCTCTGGTTGTGACTTTCTCAATGTCTGTCTTGAGACCAAATGGTCACAAACATGGTGTAAATCTGTTCCAAATCTGACCAGTAGCTAGCTCTCTGATTGGATTCTTGACAAACTGATAACACTATTCCAGGCTATCCATTGTTGACAAATCAAAGACGAAATGTAAGTGGTTAAAAAAAGAAACAGATGTGCTAGCTGGTTCTTAATGCCTTTGACTGGGGAAATTCACATTAAAAGTGATAGTTACAATGGGGACAAAAATTAACCTACCTCCCCAAAATAAAGAAATAAAATGAAATCACATAGGGCTTCCACTCAGAACCCACGAATGCTAATTAACAATTATTCACCGAAGGCGAAGTTAATATTGTTGAATAATCCCTGAGACGAAGTCGAGGGCGTTATTCAACAATATTAACTGACCCTGAGGTGAATAATTGTTTTAGTATATTCACACCAAGTGAGCTCAACAGAAACAGAATGGAAACCATTAAAAAAACGATTAGTTTGATTGACAGGTGAATTCATGTGTGAACGAAGCCGTAAACAGTGGATGCCCAAAAGTTAGATCTTTACAGTACCTTCAAACATGGCAAATGATAGTTTTAATCTTTTTGTATCGAGTTTTGTAGGCTTTAGCATCAACAGTTTAAAAGAAAACGCAGACAATTTAAATTACTACCCCATTCTGAGAAAAAAGTAGAGCTTTATTTGTTTCTGTCAACTCACCGTGAATGAGAAAGTTTCCTTTGTCACTTTTTGCAATGCCGTCAACAGCGGCTACGACCAAGGTGAGCATTGTTTATCTCCAATGTTCTTTGCCTTGTTAAGTTGCTGGCACGTACAATTTTCGAAAACACTTGCCTTCCTCTTTTCTCCATAAATTAACTTCTATTTACAGGCAAAATTGGTCTTGTGAGAAAATCCCGAAATCACAAAACATTGACCAAACAACCGTGCTTTCTTCTGTAGTGGTAAACATAGCTTCGAGCATACAAAAAGCCAGCTACAGTAAACCACCTCACAATAAATCACGCTGTGTAAACACCTTGAAGTCTTTTCTCGCCTTCAAAGTCATCAGCACTTGGATATTTGTGTATTTTCAAAAAGTCTTTACTACGAAACTTTGGCAAAACACCCAGTTCAAGACAGCAATTCTGTTCTGCTTTATATTCACTGCCTAGCGAGGTGAATATAACGTCATAGTCTGAGATAGCTAACTAATCAGATTGCGTCAATTATCAAGATCACTGAGTGTGTATATACTAATCCTCAATATTAGTAATGGTAACTGGACTGAGTCACTGAGTCGAATTGGGTCTGCAATCATACGAGTGATTCACAAAATTGGAGTAGCGGGAGTCTGATTTGTTTAATCACGAGCATGATTACAGACCGAATTGGACGACATGAAGTTCTGTTACCAATTAATCATAACTTTAACAAAATTTGTGATATATAAGGCTTTTTTAAAAAATTCAATTCTAAAAAATTCTTCAGCTCGCTCATTCTGAAGAATTTTAACAGCCATTTGACTTAAAAGCTTCTTTGAACGCCTTCTCACAGGTGGTCTCCATTATTTCAATGAATGTGAACAAGACTGAACTTCCTGCTACAAATGGTTTACCATAGTGCACTGCAGGCTATGAAGCATGGTTCACGGGAGCAAGGTTAATTGAAATAGGTGTATACATGGTTTAAGTCACTTTCCAAGAGTAGTACCCGGGTAGTAGCATTAGTACCAACATCGACATCTGCTTTATATGTTGTGCTTATTGAGATCATGACGAAAAGATACAGAAAGTTTGTTTTGTCATGCATTCTTTTTTAGACAAGGTATGGGATTACCCTAAGTTTCAAGGTTTCAGTGTGAACGATTGTGATAACAAGTATACGGATTAATTAAATTTGTAAGAAGATCAATTAAGGAAAATACTTATGTGAAATGCAGGTCCCTCTTCGTAGTCGCAGGATGGTAAAAACTATCTGGAAGTGACACTTCAGCTCCTAATACAGCGTGCAAAGAAAGTCGTGTCCTATAGCCCGGGGCTAGTGGATTTTGCTATCGGGCTAGTGAATTCTGTTTTTAACTTGCCCGACAGGCAAGTGATGTTTTTTGAGGAATTTGAATAACAAGAACTGTGAAACCAATTCTGCTTGTCAAAAAGCTTTTGGGGCTAGTTGAAAGGAAGTCTGGGCTAGTAAATGCTAGTTTCAGCTTGCCTGAATGGCAAGCTGTAAAAATGAGTTTCTTTGCACCCTGCTAATAGGTCCTAATATAAGAGATTGATCATAAAAGCAAGTCTAGAAGACACGATCATTCCTTTCCCAGAGGGATCATAAGTGGGAGAAGACAGAAGTGGGAACGAGGGCTCTTCTACGATTTCAAAATACTTACAGTTGTTGTTATCTTAGCTCAGACGTTTCATATAACATACCAATATTTTTTTAAAGTTTGCCACAAGCGTGACCGGAAGAGGAAAAGTCCCAGACAGAATTCAGCGCTGACAGGGGCATAGCTACCTTTAGGCAATTAAGCCCGGGCTTAACAAATTAAAATGTGGGTCAAAATGAGTTCGTATTAATCAGGGAGTGAAATTGCAACTAACAGAGGTGCCAATGTCTGTGACGATCATGCAAAATGACACATATTTCCCGTAGGAAACTCTGTCACTGGTGAACGCCATCTTGGGTTTCCAAGCAGATATGTAGGGGTCTCTTTGCTTACTTTTGATTACCTGCTAGAATCATTTGGGTTTAAAACTTGTAAATTTGGAGGATCTCAACTCTACTGAAAATAACAGCTAGTAAACCGGCCGTTTTCTCCTTGTTTGTTCTATTTCTTCTTGTTTTGTTTGGTTTATATTTTTTTTCTAGGGACGCAGGACTTATTCGACTCAATGGAATTGGTTACCACTTTGAAATATTAAGTAGCCAAGTGGATCCTGCCAAAAAAAGAGTTAGTTTCATGCCTTGGCAGTAACTATGTTTCGGTTATTCTGCATTGATTGATTTTAAATGCAACCTCGAGCAAACCAACCATTTGAATGTTTCTTTACTTTAATTTACTTTACTTTAATTGAAAATTGATCTAAAAACTAGTGATAATGCTGAACATGGGAAGGCTGTGGTTGCTGTGGCATCGCTACCACAACGGGTGTCATCAGAAAGCCCTAGCAAGTTTGTTCCGCAGAGCCTGTCCGTGGTTGACATGCTAAGATTGGGAAAGCTCATCCCAAATACCACAACCTCTGTTGAGATGTTCAATTTTGACATGTCAGTAATGGCGCGGACCGGAAGATCAACTACCGTGGAGTTTTGTGTTGAATCCCAGCCATTTGGAACAGGTGGATTTCGGAAGGCCTTTAAAGCGACTTCTAATGACAGAGGGTTCCAAGGCTCTACATGGGTGGTGAAGAGATATCTAGAAAAGGCCTCGGAAGATATCATTGCCATTGGGCAGACACTGGAAGAACATACAAAGAGGGTAGTGCAAATGCACTACCTAGCACGGAATTTCGCAGCTAAACTGAAAGAAGAGCTTATAGTAAGTGATAATGAAATCCTTTTTGGGGAGACCATGAGTTACAAGAAGATATACATGGGAACAATTGACGGGGAATATGTAACGGTGGAAGAGTTTATAGACGGGACATTCCACAAATATATCAACAACAATGGGAACATATGCCAAGGCGAAAATGCTGATCCCTTGATCAAGAAGGCAGAGTGTCTAGCTCACTTCTCTTATGAACGGTCACAGAAAGAGGTCATGTTGCTGGATATACAAGGCTGTGGAAGTTGCCTTTTTGACCGAGAGATTGCCAACAAGCAGCTAGATCCCAAGAACATGCTGTTTTGTACAGGTAATCTTTCCCAAAATGCCATACAGAACTTCACTGCAAGCCATAAGTGCAATGACTACTGCAATCTGTTGAGATTAACTCCATTTGAGTGACTGAACCAGTATACTCTGTATGACTAGAATGCCGCATTTTGAAGTAGGCTTAATCAAGTGACGCGTATTTAAGTGGAGAAATAGTTTCTTTCCCAAGCCCATAACATTCAAGATTTTCTCCGTGTACCATCAAGATTGCACTTTCCTTATGCTTATTGGAGGGGGGGGGGGGTGTATTTTTTGTTATTGTGATGTTGTTGTTGTGGTTGTTTGACCCCAAAACAGCTTGAAGGGGTTTTATCCCGTAAATGGCCTGGCCACGTTCCAATGTTAAATGTTTGGCCCCTAATAGTTGATCATTTATGGTTGTAGCCATGCAGTAACCATAGCAACAGAAGAGGTACCAGTTCGTGTTTGTCTTCTTTATCCAACTTTCTCTAACAGCCTAGTTATCAAAAAGTGTTAAGAAGTACATAGTTGGTAACTATAGAAGATAGAAGATATTTTTGGAAGCATAGCTTTTTGGTGAGGGTCTTTCACAAATGATCCAAAGTCTCATTAGTTTATTTTTGTACAAGAGCATGAACAGTATTATCTACCTTTTTTCGAAGAGGTAACACCTTGATGAAAAGTGCATCAGGTTATTGTTATTGATTTTAATGGTTATGGTTTATTAGAAATTTGTTAAGCATTTAGTTATACATATTTTATTATATAAGTACATTTTACTAGATTGATATTTGCAATTTAAGGAATGAATTCCTCATTGTAGTTGAGTTGTTAAGGTCTACAGTTTAATTTTCATGGTGACAATAGTTAATGTTCATGTATGGCATTGAGGATACACTTTACAACATACCAAAAGCATTTCAAAGCACAATTAGTAAAAGTATTAAAGGCAAAAGTATGAAGTAATGAAAAAAGGAGACAAAGACATATGACATTCACATAGGGTTTGTTGTAATATTAAAGCTGTTCATTTTGTGATCTAAGGACTTGATGTTACATTTATTGGGCTTATTGTAATTTTTTTTTAATTTGGTAAGGTACTACCACCACTACTCGCACCTGAAATAATTAAACCTCTAACCACACCCATCAGAAATTATTTATGGGGAAATGGTAAATTTTCTAAAATTGCACTTAAGCAAGTATTTTCAAAATGACTTCAAAGTCACCTTTTTTATTGAGGAGCCTGGTTACTCACATCTTTTTCAAACATGACATCTGCTTTTGGCAAATTGCAAATAAACAAATCTGACTTTGGCACTGATTCAAATACATTTAATATATTATATCTTTTTGTTACAAAACTCAGTCAGGGGTTTTGAATTTCAAATTTAAATCGTATTGTTCTCCTGCTAACTAGCTAGTACTTGACATATGAAAATCCCAACATTTATATTTGAACAATGTGAACCACATCTGCCTCAGTTCTGGGGCCTGTCAACTTACAGGCCCGTATTACTAAGTAGCTACTCCATTAACCAATACCGAGCTCTAGGATACAAAATGCTATGTGCAATTAAATTAAACATTCCTGTTTGTAGAACTTAAAAAGCAAAACAAGCTGACTTAATATAACTGCTTGAAGTGGTCGCTCCAGTATGCTCTTGGTTCACAATGTTGCTCAAAGTAATGTTTCTTTGCTACTCATAACATTGAAAGGCTATTCCAAAAAGAAATTTCATAGTTAAGGTATATAATCATAACTGTGCTCGTACAAGTGTATCTACATCCTCATTACATCTTCTTGCTATGCATGTACATGTATATCTACATTTTCCTTGAGGTAACGAAAGGCATAGGCAAAATCACTGACATCAATCTCCAATGGATCAGCAATTACTTGTTCACATTTATTCCTGAACTCAGCACTCAAATAGTCATCATTGTCCGCAAGCACATCTGAAAGTTCTGCAACTTCTGCTAGCTGTTCCTCTGTGACTTCCCAGCCTTCAAAATAGGTTCACATAACTCCATTTTTAATGAGGGTGAGAACTTTTCAGTAAAAGCAGTAAATTCATCTTATTTAGGAAATATGTCTCAAGCAGGGGAAAAGAAGAAAGTATTTGAATGAAAATCACGCTCTCTCATTCTATGACTTTATGATTTCTTTTGTTATGATCACCAGAATTTGGGTAATTTGTTTTTAAAGCGGGATTTGAATTTCCATATTTTGTGGGAGTCGAAAACCCTAAAAACAACATCTATTTTGCAAGGTCCACTATCTGATTTCTCGCATTCACACTAACAGGGTTTCAATTAAATGGTACAACTCTTGCTCTTTTTATTTCATCTTACAAGTTGTGTAGTGCTCAAGCAGGACTACCAATTAAAAAGAGAAACTCGGGGAACAAAGTCATTGATACCTACCACATTCCTCTAGTCCATATTTCTCTGGAAAACTGTAAATGTGGTTTGGCACTCCATCAGGAAGGAAAGTGTTTTTTTGCTCACGGATCCTGTGACTGTTCCATACCACATCTACAAAGGTGTTGACTTCCCTTTGAACTATTGGTATCATCACATATGCCAAGAGAAGCCTGTGAAAAAGTAATGTGTACTGTCAGGCTCTGTTTGCAAAATTCTCTTAATTGGACAGTTTAATACTTACACAGTGCTATATACTCAGATTGATAAGTGTTTAAACTCCTGCTCTTAAACTGCATTTCTGTGTGGCCATACACGGGCACTTAAATAGAAAATTGGATTTTTCCTTTGGTCGTGACTCTCCTGTCCATAGCAAGCATATATTTCCTTGTTACAATTAATTTGCTGGCATATGGCTTGTGGTTCAGTTAATGCTGGTGTTTGAAACAAAAGGGATAAGAGTGGTTCTCTCTTATTATACTGAGTTGCAGGAAAACTAAATTCACCATTCAGCTTTTCTCATTAATATAGGGGCGCAACTTTAAAACTACTCAAATAAACTAAATTATGACAATAATAATATTTAATATTTCTTAGGTGCAAATTAACATATGAATATGATCAAATGCACCTTACAAAGAAAGTAATGTCTAATGAAAGTAATGTCTATATGTCTAGCTCGGTACCTGTGGTTTTCATCATGGGGATCATATTGACCTTGTTCTTTTAGTTGGTTCAGGGGCAACTTGAAAAACCTTTCCAACCTTTCATGCAGTTCCCTCCAAAACCTTTCGATCTGTCCATGTAATGATAATTATTATGATCACACACTATACTGGTACGTTTTACAGTTTACATCATGTCTAATTAGCATAAGCAGCAAACTAGAATCGTTTTTTGGATGAAGGGTTAAGGTAGGCTTCATTTCCTGTCATTTTGAGAGTCCGCATTCATTGCTTGGTCCACATGATTGCTGGGAAAATGATCAACAATCACACTCCCATAATGGCTGGAAATCAAGTCTGGGGTTAAGGCATTCTCAGATTTCCTGTAATCAAAATATACATGTTCCTATTATAAATGAAATAATTGATCAATTTAGCCTTGAACATTCCATGGAGGTAGAGCTGGTACAGCCGTCATTGCAGGCTGCAGCACCTGCTACAACTGAGTATGTTTCATGGCCAATGATGTTATGAGTCAACTGGACTATAGTTGCTACAATTCATCTAAAAGGTATACAGTTGACTCAAAACTTGATGCCAGCCGTGGGTCTGGGTATTAAGTTCATATTTGGGACTTATTTCTCATTTTTAGAAAAATTAAAGTTAAAACATAAAAAGTAAAAAAAAGTCTGCAAACCTCACCTGATTTGAAGTTGATGGCCCATAGACAACTGTTTCTAAGGGGTCCATGTCACCATGGTGTTGTCGAAGAAAAGCATGCATTGTGGCCATAACTCCTGTTTCTGACCCTCTATCCAGTCTCAGTTTGGCTGCAATTTTCCTTGATTTGAATAAATGTTCAAGATAAAATCTGCCGATGATATTGGGGTCGCTGTTGCTCATCCAAACTCTTATCCACAATATTTTCCTGCTGCACGTATCCATACAACCATATACTGCAATTGGAAAAGTACTGTTCTGGTATCCCATCAGTTTATCGTGACCATCGAGGGAGTGCACCCAGTTTGAGCCACGTGATGTGAAGTTGCTTTTAGGCTTCTTCTTCTTGAATTGAGGAGCTCTTCCCTCGAGAGCAACTGGGTCCACATTGTACATCACTGCATACACAACGTCTCGTGGAACATTTAGCTCGTGAACCTGCCTTAGTTTTTTGTGCAAAGCTCTATATCCAAGAAGTCTACCTGGGCCATCCATTTCTTGTCTCACGGCAGTTTCGATCTCCCCAAGGTCAACGTTACGGTCAGTGTACCGGATTTTAAAATACTCAAGTCGTCTGTCCAGAGACCGAAGAGGTAGACCCTACACACGAAGTCGAAGATCTCTCTGCGTCTAAGATTTTCTTTTACATATCGAGCTAACATATCTTTTAGATCGTCGTCCTGCTGCCACTCTTCGTTTTGAATCCGTGCAGTCGCCATCTTGAAAACAGATGCACCGAAATGCATTCTGGTCTATGGCAATGATAGGCCACACGCCCTTTTTTTTTGCCATGGCAACGATAGGCCATGGACAATTTTGCTTTTAATTTAGTTTACAATGCCTTTCTTTTCAAATATATTTTTTTTAAATTAGTTTCAATTTTTTTTGAAACATAAAATTTTGTTTTCTTTCGAAATAAATTCATTTTAAAATCATGTCGTTTTTATTCTGTTCTTAAGATATTTTCTTTTCATTGAAAATAATTTCTGAATTTATTTACTTTTTATTTTAAGTTAACATATTTCTGTGATTAAACAAAAAAAAAACAAACATTAAAATAAAAATAAACCAAAACACACAAAAAAGCAAACAAAACATAAATTTACAAGAAACTTGTTAAGAAATTGGGTTTTTTGTTATGGCAGTCTTAGGCCACCATGCACCAGTACGTCGTCGTTGAGAAATAAAATACATGCACTTCAACAATAAATTTAATTCAATATAATGATGCCAGTAAGACTGTGTTTTGAAAATAAGAAGAAAAACAGCAATTGGTTTGAATTCTGATTTTTTCCACTTTTT